GATTGATGTCCTCAGTGTTTTTCTTCTTTTTTTTGATTGGACAGCTTGGACCAATGGCGCTTTGCCATTGGCCCAAACCATCCACAGGGCTCAAGCCTCTAACATAGAGTAATGGCTGTTTCAGCTCTTGCCTCGCTATGTTAGGTTGTTACACAAGTAGTGGGGAAGTCTGCTGCTGTGTAACCTAACTTAGCTGTCAAAAGCCGGATGCAGCGCCGCCTGTAATTAACCATGACAAGTTACACAGCGGGGAGGCTTTCCCTGCTGTGTAACCTGTTACAAGCTGCTACAAATGGAGAAAAAGCTGTCAGCTTCAGACTTGAAGTTGGCAGCTTTTTCCTCCATAATACTAGGTGAGGCTTTGCCTCCCCTGACCGCATGTTCCTAACTAACACTATTTAGAAAAGTCATGAATGAACAGGAAGTGATATAGAGCACTTTCTGTTCATTCCTAACTGGGGACACATACTATGTCTCCAGTTGTTTACAAATAATGGAGCGATCAGCATATTCCCATCTCTCTCCAGGAAAACCCTTCAGATATAAGTTAATGGTCGCTAGAGCAGTGGTCTCAAAGTACCGGCCCGCGGGCCAGTTGCGGCCCGCGAGCCGGTACTATGTGGCCTGCAGCCAGCTCACAAGTCGGGTACGCGGTCACGGGCCGCCGCGTACCCGAAGGTTATTATATTATTTGTGCAGGGGTAGTATCTTTTTATGCGTATGGTGGGGGGGGGTTATTATTTTATTTGTGCAGGCAGGGGTAGTATATTTTTATGCGTATGGTGGGGTGTATTATTTTATTTGTGCAGGGGTAGTATCTTTTTATGTGTATGTGTACGTAAACACGCGTAGGGTGAGCCTACGGTATGAAAACAACGATCGCGCTACACATGTTGGGTATCGCCACACACGAAGGAGTGAGAGCAATAATTCAAGGGCCAACATTTACACGTATCTCTAAACTGATGACCTGTAGGTGCTTTTAAAGTATTGTTTATGGACTTTTTGGGGTACTGAAATCTGACACAGTTTCAGTGACACACACAATTTTTAGCCTGGGCACGTTGGGTATCAATTTACTCATTATAACCTCATCTTTTATACTTTACAAAAAAATGGTTTTATATTGTGTTTTGGGGCACTAAATTTAACTTAAGTGCATTTTTCACTAAATGTTTGGGTTTGATAATAAGTTGTGCTAATGTCGTGCAACATAAACATTTGCAACTGCCACCATTTTATTTTACAGGGTCGTGGCTTTCAGAAAATATATAAAGTTTGGGGGTTTTAAGTAATTTTCAGGCCTAAAATGTGGATTATAACCTGAAAAAAAGGCCTTTCTCCTTAAGGGGTTAACCTCTTGCGGGAGAGACTGTTGAAATTATTTAGAAACTACGTTTTTAGGACACATCTCTTACTTCGAGGTCCTCTAGCCCTCTCATCCCACCATTATTACCAGCATCAACCAGCTGTCAAAATGATGGCTAGAAATTGCTTTGTATTACACAGCAGCGGTTGTCAAAATGCAGTTGATCCTGTGTGAACTGACACTTGCAGATAGTCAAGTGTCCTTGAGTAAATACAATAGGGAGGGGGGCATTTATCAAAACTGAAGCAGCTGCCCATAGTAACCAATCAGTTTCTCTCTCCATTGTTTTCAGTTAGGCCCGGTTCACACCTGGGCATTTTGTAGCGCGTTCCTGCGCTCTGCAAAACGCTCAAACACCGAAATCCCATTATTTCCAATGGGTATGGTTCACACCTGGGCGTATTACAGGCCGTATGAACGTGCCGCAAAACGCCCTACATCCAAAGAAGTACAGGAGCTTCTTTGGGGCATATTTGCCGCGCGTATCCATTGGGATACAGCCAGGTAGCCCTGCGGTAAAAACGTGCATCACGAAACTCACGACAAACGCGCATATTCGATACGCCTAGGTGTGAACCCAGCCTCAAGCTTTGAGAATGAAAGAGAAAAGCTGATTGGTTGCCATGCTCAGCTGCTCCAGTTTTGATAAACTCCCCTCAATGTTTTCAGGATGCAGATCTAAACCCAAGCTCTCTACAGTGTCTGGCAGCAGTTCTTCCTGCTAAGCCACCTATAAATCTAAAAAGCTCCTTGCCTGATCTCTTGCTCAGCCATAAGTGATACCCAGTTTTCTGTTGAACTCCGAACTCCTTGCTTCTTCCTGTTTGCCAGATTATTGTGCTCCTGCCAGTATCTTGCTTCCTGTCCTTACTGTTAGGCTCCATCCACACATAGCGTTTTCCACGTGGTTTTTCACACAGAATATATGCGCGTTTACTATAGCCGGAGCGTGCAGAAAATCCGCCCATAAAATCGCGCTCGGGCTATTTTGCAGGACGCACGGTTGGTCAGAACAATGCACATTGCAATGCATTGTTTTTTATGTTTAGCGCATTTCCGCGCATACGAAACTGCTCATGTGTGAATGGAGCTTGAAACTGCATCCTTAAGGCTGCATTCACACCAAAATCAGAACCAAAAACCACAAGTCAACAGAGGTCAGTTTACATGCGATTGCATACTGAGCTTCTGTTCACACACGTTAGCAATTCATGCCAGTCCGTTGCAATGCTTTGAAAAAAGGCCTGCTTTTTCTTTTTAGTGGAGAGCAGTGCATTGCGACACAATGGATTGGTGTGAACTTCTCCCATTCACACCCATTTATTTTCAGATGTCCTTGCATTGACTTCCATTGAAAAACAGATCTGATGTGAATCGGTCTTTATACTGCTACCACGTGTACCGACCCTTAGCTGTTGAATCACCGACTACGCTTATCATCTTAAGGTGCTCATACACCTTACAATTATCTGCAGATTTTCTGTGGTCAGATGGAAAAAAGTGCAACAGATTGGCCCAGGTGGAGATTATTCCATCCACACAGTTAGGTGTAGATGGAGGAATCTGTTGCACCTTTTCCATCTGACCACAGAAAAAGGTGTATGGCAAGCTTTACACTTTAAACTTGATTACTGACAACTCCTCTTCCTGCTCCTATACTGTTGGAAAAACTCGTGAATAGCCTCGACAGTGGCTCCCTCCAATCACCTCTCACCCTAGTTGTAAACATACCATGGAAACACACGAAAAAGGAAAAAAAATAGGGTTTATAGAGAGGTATGAGACCAATGCATGGATAAAATATAACAAAATGTATTGTACATAAATAGATAAAAAATATAAAATCTAAGCAATAGCTGAATATGCACAATACCACCACTAGAGCCTGGAAGAGCATTTGCCCCAAAACACAACCAAGTATATCTAGTTAACGGCTAGGATTCCAGGCAATTTCATTAGATGTAACATCCAGGAAAGTGAATCTGATATGTTTCGTTCCGACGCGTTTCACATTGAGCTTCTTCAGGGGGCCAACAATGTCTAACAATGGAAATTGTACATAGACTTGTTGGTCCCCTGAAGAAGCTCAATGCAAAACGCGTTGGAACGAAACATATCAGATTCACTTTCCTGGATGTTAAATCTAATGAAATTGGGGGGAACATCACGCTTCCCCCCCCCCCATCTTCTGCAGACCTAAAGGGTCTGGTAGGAATGTTAGGAGGGACCCTCCCCCAAGTTAAAACAAAAAATAAAGTGCGTGTGGTTCCCCCCAAAGTCCCTACCAGACCCTTTAGGTCTGGTAGGAATTTTAAGGGGGAACCCCAGCCCCAAAAAATGGGGAAAAAAACGTGGGGCCCCCCCCTAACAGTCCTACCAGACCCGCGATCGAGCACCCCCCCTCCCTGCGCCTTACCAGGCCATGTACCGTCGGCATTGGGAGGGTGTCCCCATGCCGATGGGGACAAGGGCCTCTTCCATGGTTGTGGGGGTCTGCGGGCAAGGGGGCTTATTTGCATTGGGGTACCCCCTTTAAATAAGGGGGCACTCAGATGCCACCCCCCCCTTGTGAATGAGTAAGGGGTACTTGTACCCAGACCCATTCACTAAAGGGTTAAATTAAATAGTTAGTAAAAAGTCCAGACTTTTGATTAAATCCTTTAATGAAAAAAAAAAATGGCTCCATCGATGTAATCTAGTATATGCAATATGCAAAAAAAAGGCTCATGTACTTTTTCCAGCGACAGGCGTTTTGCTTTATTGCAACAAAACGCTCAGATGTGAATAGGGCTATAGAAATGAATGGGATTTTGAGCGATTTTTTGGAGCAGATTTGAGCGTTTATTAGGGCAGAAAAAGCGCTACAAAACGCTCAGTGCGAACCAGGCCTAAAGGTGCTCATACACCTTGCAATCATCGGAAGAAAACTTTCATACGGCGGTCCCATCCTGCCCTGACCATTGCACAGTTCAATTAGCGGTCATTAGCAGAAATCACCTGGACTAATTTAATTAATCAACCGTGCGGATTTTCGTTTGTGTATGAGCAGAGTTAATAGTACGATTTTTGATGTACAGAAACGCCACCAACCTTGCGAAAATTGTACAATAGACCAAAGTTTTCTAGCATGCTGGAAAGACGAACGTCGTACAATTGTACAGTATGTGCAGGTTGTAGACTCCCCATCAAACTTACGAATATCGGACGAAAACGTGATCGCAAACGAAAATCGGCTGCTATTAGAAAGGTGTATGGGCACCTTTACCGAACAAACTGTAGAGTGAAGCTGGTTGGTTGCCATGCACAGCTGCTCCAGATTTTGTCTGCTCCAGTTTTGACAAATTCCCCCCTCTGAATCTGAGGGGAAAGGCTGAGTTGATACATTTAGTACTGATTGTATCAGGCATTCATGATCCTAGTTTGGAGGAAATGAGTTGTGATTCGAGTCAATGATTCGAATCATTTCACTGATCTGATCCAAGCGATTCGAATCATTAAGAAGAATCACTTTGCCCAAGTCTACACACAGCTCATGAATGATAAAGAGAGCGAGGCTCGGAGTAGCCGGAAGCTGCAGCCTGTGTAAGGTGAGCCTGCATGAGTGGGAGGAGCCCAGAGTCCACTTCTCACAAAGCTTCGAGTCTGTCTGAGAGTAGGCTGCTTCTTCCAAACATGGGTGCCTGCCTGGGAGTGTGTTCCCTGCTGAGCTGTGTGAGTAGCAACCAAGCTGGCCGTCTATCACTTTAACTTGTGTCTAGACTGTGGGGTAGGGGGCTTGTCACTGTGTTTTTTGCCTGGAATCACCTTTCATAACTTGCCTTTCAACACTTAACTTCCTCCTGTTCCATCCTTGTAGAAACAAGTTGTTTTGTGTTTACATGTCGTGTTGTTTTGTGTTTACGTGTTTTTTTGTGTTCACATTGTTGTGTTGTTTTTGTGTTTTCATTGAACTCCATAGGAGCGTTTTATATTTGAGATCTTCAGAGGATGTTCTATATAGGAGCATTCCCGTTTATTGCAACTCAACCATTTTCTACAGATTGTTGAAGGTTTATGGACCAAGCCGGAATTTTGTATGTGGTTTGCAGGCTGGACATGTGTGTTGGTTAGGACATGTATGTTACAAATTAAATAAAAAGAACTCTGGGGAAACTGCAAGGGTTTAAGTGTTTTTTGTCTAGAGTTAAAAGTACAAAAGTTTTTTTTTTTGCTTGTCTGATCCTTGTAGCTGGCCGGGTCTTAAGGTGGCCATACACTGTGCGAATTTTGGCTAGTTCTTGATGGACCGGCTGAAATTTGCAGTGTGTGTTGCTATTGGCACCCTTTGGGCCAGCATCCCTCGATCAGCTTAACGAAGGAGCCAGTTGTATGAACAGAGCTGGCAGCCAATGGGCTGCTGGCTCTGCTTGGATACGCTGTCAGAATACATAAGCGTTGATGGAGGAATCTGTAATATTTTCTTCAGTGTGCAGGTTAAGTGAAGAAAATATTACAGTGCATGGCTAACTTTAGACCGGCCATTCCAGCCTTACTACCCCTCTGCTGCAGTGGTGTGTAGATCCTCAAGTCATCATGTTCTATACACTGTATAGGATGTGAGGACACCGAAGGACATACCATCGCTGCAACAGAGGAAGAGTCGGGCTGGAGGGACCGTTGTCACAGGTGGCTGGATCTGAAGTTTGGGTGAGTATACTTTGTTTTTTGTTTTTAACCACAAATGAGCACATGGGGGGTAGCCCCACTGCAAGGGTTAATATATGTATTTATTATTATTATTTATTATTATTTTCCCCCTGGAGTTCTACTTTTAAAGGAGAATTATGGGACAATTGAAATACACTCATCCCCATAAGTGGAGCTGACATGTGACAATTAAGTTGTCACACGTCGGCTCTATTGATCGAGAACTGAGCAATCGCATACTGCTGATCACTCAATTCCTGATCTTCTCCCTATAGAGAGCAGCGACTGTAAGTCACCGCTCCCTGCAGGGATCCCCCTTCCTCCCCTCCTCTGTGTTCCTCTAGAGCTGACTGGAGGGACAGATGGGGAGGGGGCGGGCACAGCCTGCACTGGCTTTAGAGAGGCAGAGCCAGATGTCAATCAGGCAGAGGGGTGGATCCAGACAATATTGTTGGGATCTTTCCTGGTCGCAGCACAGCTCTGTGCTGTCAGCATATAGTGGGCAAAAGCTAGTACATGCTGAGTTTTGGGTCACAGGAGGACAGAGTAAATGTCCTCCTGTGACCCTAAAGAGAACTATGGCCAAAAAAGGTTGGTACATATTTCTTTTTAATGTCTGCAGATATACAGCAGTAACTTGTGTCCGCATTAAAGAATAACTCCAGGAAAAACTTTTCTTTTAACCCTTGAAGTGGTGCTGCCCCCACACTGCAAGGGTTAAGTGCCCGTTTTTGTTTAGGTTCAAATAACAAAGGTATATCTTCAAGCCAGCAGTCAAAGCTCTCCCTCCAGCCTGTGTCCTCCTCCGCTGCAGCATTGGAATCTTCCTCGGCATCCTTGCATCTATACAGTGTGTATAGACATTGATGATTTATAGGACCTTAAACCGCTGCAGAAGAGGGGGAGAGCCACTCCCCCCTCTTCTGGGGGAGAACTCCAGGAAAGTGTTTTCTATTAACCCTTGCAACAAAGGGTTGCAAGGGTTAATAGAAACACTTTCCTGGAGTTCTTCTTTTAAAGAGGAACTCCAGGAAAAAACCCAAAAGGAACCCTTGCAGTTGGGCTACCCCTGCAATGCAAGATTCATTGCTCATTTTGATCTAAATAGTGCTTGCAGCATTGTGATCGCACCGCACTGCAGGCACAATGTGCCTTGCGATCGCATTGCGGCCCGAGGGCATGGCTACGATGCCATTCACTTCAATGGCCCGCCACACCCCCTCCAGCCCGGCAAAAAGTGAGCCGGCCGCAATGCGAGGCAGTGCGTTCCGGCCAGGATTGGGCCGGAGCGCACTGCATATGGTGTGACCGAGGCCTAATGTGAAATTAAAGTATTGTGGTGGTGGTATAGTGAATGTCTAGTTATTAAAGTGATGCTACACTCAGGAGTTAAATCTTAAAGCTGACCTGTGCACTCAAAAATCAAATTCTACCAATGATGATGTATGATGACATAGACATGTCAGGTGTAAAATGCTGCGATTATGAAATACTTACACTTGTAGAACATTCACTTCCTGCTTTAAAAGTGCAAATTACTTTGGTTTGCCAATGTAATGCACACTGGGACTGCCTTGTCATCAGCAGAGCATTGCTGGGAAATCTCAGGAGATCTCAGGGAAAGGCATTTTCCTCCCCTGAGATGATGTGCATAGTCACATGTGCCAGATTTTCAGGAAGTAAATGGAGAGCTAGTAATCTGCCCTTAGTAAACATGACCACTGTCAGAAGACTGGGGAAGAAAAGACAAGTTATGCAAAGAATACAAAATCGGCAATTATCTAGAAGTATGTGTTTTGTAGATTATCATTACTAAACATTTCTAAAGGTGTGTTTGTTGTTTTTAATGATATGGGTAAAGGTCCTCTTTAAAAAAACATTCACCTTAACTGTTAACAAAAATGTATCTTATTTGTGCATCTCTCAGCTGTAGATCCTCAAATCATCTCGGAATTGGTGCTGACACTGTCCTTCCTTCTGGAGGGTGGCTACTTTTGTTCCCCATTGTTCCTGTGTGTGTTGTAGAGTAGCTACTGCTTCAAGCTCACTCATGTGATGGACTACAATCTCAATACAAATTAGTAAACTAAACCTGCGATTGTAGTCCATCACATGAGTGAGCTTGGAGTGGTGGCTACTTTCCAACACACAGGGACCATGGAGAACAAAAGTAGCCACCCTACTAAAGGAAGGACAGTGTCAGCATGAATTCAGAGATGATTTGAGGCTCTACAGCCGAGTGATATACAAATAAGATACATTTTTGTTAATAGTTTAGCTACTTAAATGCATTTTTTTAAGATTTCCCTCGAGTTTAGTGTTTTGTTTTTTTTTTTAAATTTTGTAAAAAAATTTGATCTGATATGTGGCATACGTGTAAC